GCAAAGCTACACAGAGAAACCCTGTCTCGAAAAACCAAAAGAAAAAAAAAAAATGAACAGCATCAAAAAACTGCTAGGTAGGTGGCACACACCTTGAATCCCAGCATTCAGAAGACAAAGGCAGGCAGACCCCTGTGAGTTGTAGGTCAACCTGGTCTACATTGTGAGTTCCAGACTGGCCAGGGCTACACAGTGAGACCTGATCTTTAAAAAACAAAATAAAGCAAAACCCTAATACTAACATAAATATCACACCTTAAAAGGGGTTTTGTTGTTACTGTTGCTTTTGTGAGTCTTATTGTTTCATAGTCTAACACCAAACACCTAACCTCAGACAATGCTCCTGCCCTTAGCTTCCCAGAACATGGGAACTACGGGCATTTACCACTATGAAAGTTCCCATGTGTATTCACAGGCACACATGTGGAATGGGAGGCCAGAGGACAGCCTTACCTATTGACCCTTGCTTTCTGTCTTGTTTGAGACAGGATGTCTCTGCTGTTCACTTCTCTGCTAAGATAGCTGGTCTGCAATCCAGCAATTCTCCTGTCGCCTCCCACCCCCCTGCCATAGAGGCACACTAGGATTGAAGATTGGGATCGCTTTTCCATGGATTCTAGGGATCTCGGCTCAGGCTATCAGGTTAATGAAGCAAGTGTTTTACACACTGAGCCGTCTCCAGCCCCTAAAAGACTTCAATATTATCAAAAGATGATCAATATTCAAATTTTCCTAATTCATATTTATTTGTTTGTTTGTTTTGCTTATTTGAGACAATGTATCTCTGTGTACCCCTGGCCCACTATTTTTTCTAAATTGTATTCCTGGAGCTGGTGAGATGACTTAGTGGGTAAGGATGCTTGCTGCCAAGCCTGATGACCAGAGTGGAATCCTTGGGAGCGAAATGATAGAGGGAGAGAGCTGATTCTGGAAGCTGTCCTCTGGCCTCCATACGTGCTGTGAACTTGAAGGAAACATGCTAAACAAACCACAAACAAATATAGGTTGTT